AGCTTCACAATTAGGATATTGTGGGAGACAGTGTCAAAAGCCTTGCTGAAGTCAAGGTAAACCACCTCCACTGCTCTCCCTTCATCTATCCAACTAGTCATGCTATCATAGAGGTCTATCAGATTAGTCAAACACGATTTTCCCTTTGTGAATCCATGCTGACTACTTCTGATAACTTTCTTTTTCTCCATGTGCCTAGAGATGGCCTCCAGCAGGAGTTGCTCCATCACCTTTCCAGGTATGGAGGTTAGGCTGACCGGTCTGTAATTTCCCAGGTCTTCTCTCTCACCCTTTTTGAAGACTGGGGTGACATTGGCTTTCTCCAGTCTTCAGGCATTTTTCCCATTCTCCATGATTTTTCAAAAATGATGGAAAGTGGCATAGTCAGGGTGCATAGGGATGCAATAAGGAAGACCAAGGTCCTCTTTGAACTAAATCTGGCAAAGGAGGTTAAAGAGGACAAGAAAGGCTTCTTCAAGTATATCAATGGGAAAAGGAAGATCAAGGAAAACGTGGGACCTTTGCTAAATTAAATGGGAGCCCTGGTGACAGATGATGCTGGGAAAGCAGAGTTACTGAATGCCTTCTTTGCTTCAGTCTTTACTGCTAAGACTACCTATCAAAAATCCCAGCCCCTGGAGATAAGTGAAAAAGCCTGGAGGAAGACTTCACACTGGTTGATGAAGCTTGGGTCAGAGAACACAGATCTCTAACTCCTCTTCGTTCTTATCCATGCTGCGTGCATTGGTATAGATGCACTTCAACTGTATTAATGATCCTGCCACTGCTTTGGGAGGAGAAGCCCTAATTCCTACCTGACCACTGTCTTCCATGGCTACTAACCTATCAGCAAGCCTAGTGTTTTCATTTCTGCCTGGGTCCCTCACCTCAGCCAAGACATCTGATTGAAAGGACAAACCAGCACACTGATCCATGAGCACTGGTATGCCACATCCAGGTTCCTCTGTGACAAACCTGATTTTTTCCCCATTCCCCTTCAAAACTAGTTTAAAGCCCTGCTAATTCATGTCCCAAGATCCTCTTCCCCCTTTGTGTCAAGGTAACACCATCTCATGCTATTAGACCCGGTGCCTTATAGAACAACCCATGGTCAAAGAATCCAAAGTTCTGTCAGTGACACCAGGCTTGAAGCCAAGTATTCATCTGTTGGGTATTTTTGTCCAAGCCCTCATCGCTCTCTGCAACTGGTTGGAAGGAGGGGAACATGACTTGTGCTCCCAACCCCTTAGCACCTTCCCCACAGCCCTGAAGTCTCTCTTCATTGCCTGCAAGCTCCTTGATTTAATCTCATTGATACCTACTTGAAAAAGTATCAGTGGGTAGTAGTCTGAAGGGTGAACCAGGGCAGGAAGTTTTCTTTTTACATCCTCAACCCTGGGCCCAGGGAGGCAGCAAGACCTCCCTGTGGGAAGGATCAGGGCAACATATGGGGGCCTTGGTTCCGCTCAGAAGGGAATCACCAGTAACAATTACCCTCCTCTTCTTTTTTAAGGGTACTATTCCTGATGTGAATGGGAGACTGGTTTGTTTTAGGGAACCAAATACCACAGAGGGTGTCTCCTCTGCCTTCTGAGTCATCTCACCCTCAGCCTCCAGTACCTTGTACTTGCTGTGCAAAGGCAACTGGGAAGGTAAGGGGGACTTGAAGGGTTTCCAATGCCTCTCCTAACAGGGACCTGTATCCATTCCCCCCCATTCATTCAGAAAGGCAGTTCAGAGTTTGAAATTAAGTGTATTGACTGGATATTTCTGGTTTCTAAAAAAGAGTGAATAGTTGTGCTGACAGCTTAAAATGAAAGGCAAAACCCCTTGGTGAAAGTGTGAACTTTCAGGAGCCAGCAGATTCAGGAAGAAATCTTTCCATTCCTTCTACTGTATACACCTTAAAGCCATGCTGAGATAAAAATAGCAGTTAAGGAAAATCACCCAACAAGAAGAGATAACAGGGCATATTCTGTGCCTACAAAAGAAAAGAATACATAGGATTTGTTACTAATAGGATGTCACAAGCTTCTATACAGTAATTGGACAGGCAATTCTCCAGCAAATTACTTCACATCAGATTAACATGACATAGAAGAAAGTGAGAAAAGCAAAACCATTACATAACATTTCTGAGTTGCTCTTTGCTTTCTCCTGCTTCAGTGAGGTAATAATGCCCTAATTATCACCTAACCACCTAATTTGCTTTAGTTTTCCTTAGATTTCATTAGTGTGGTGTACAACCTCTAGTTAACAGTTTTTATATATACAGGACTGCCACCTAGCTCAACTGTGCAAGAAAAAACTACCTATGACTGCAGGATACTGATGCAGCACCAAGCAGTGTAGGCATGGGCTGCCAGCAGATATCCTTAAGGTGTGGACCAGGACGATACCAGAGACACTTTCTCAGCAACTCACACCTGGCTGTTAACTGTACTGTAAAGGCTGGACTCAAGCAACAGCTGTTTTAGGGATAACAACAAGGACAAAGAACAAACATTTAAAAAAACAAAGCCATGCCATATTGGCCTGCTAATAAAGAAAACCCATCATGTAAAATGTGTTGGAAAATGTGCAAGTGGCCTCCAAGTAGGTTCTAAGAAAAAAGAAGAAAACATCAACCTCATGCTTCTTCCAGCAAAGAGGAAGAAATCACTACCACTATCATCACACTCATTCTCCAGGTGAGGACAGCAGAATGCTGAAAAGTGATTATAAACTCCCTTCACAATCCTCTCTCAGACTAAAGGTAATGAACTTAGGATACAGAGGAGCTTGTGAAAGGGTGAGCATAATGCCTGTTAAAATAACAGAAAATACAGCTCAATTACAGAGCGACCTGACAGCCTTGCTGGTCTTAAAACCTGAGGTTCTCATAGGTGCCTTCTCATTTTTAAGAGAGGGAAAACAGGCGAGAAAGAAAACCAGGGGAACAAAACATTGTGTATCTATAAATAAATAATTTGTGAATATGCATGTTTTGTAACACAATCTACTTGTCATATCTCAATCAACAGCAACATTCATTTAAGATTTAAGGGAAATAACACAGAAGTGTGCTACACACAAAAAAAAACCACACCACCATGAAAATATATCATTTTAATCACTTGCCTCTTCCCGTCTTTCTTCAGCAGAAGGAACTTTAAGTTCTCGTGCTGTGTCATCCTTGGGATCAAACAAGTATATGTAATCTGAAGAGTAGCTAACAAGGATCTCTTGACCATCTTCACTGTAACAAAGAGATGTTACTCTGCAGGATTTGTTATTGAGATGAGGAGGAACAAAACGTGCCACCATTCCAACAGTGCCTCTACCAGCATAATTCCCTATATAAAAGAAAAAAGAGCGGGGAGGGAGGAGAAAAAGAAATTACACGTTTACTGTTGACTCACTTGTTATTGCAAATTTTCAACACCTTCTATATACAAGTTATTTAACAGCCAACGAAAGATCAAAAAAGCGAAGTATCCTCTAGCTTCTGCTTTCAACTGGATCCGAAGAGTGATTTACCAGACCTTACTAGTATTTTTGTTTACAAACACTATGTACATTATTAAGAAATTATTCAAAGACACACAAATGTATTCATGTATCACATAGCATTCACACACCATCATGTGATGGGTATCTGTCGAGTGTAGTACAAATGGAAATTTTGGAATGTATATACAACAATAATGCAAACCTGTACCTACACACAAATTAGGAAGGAATTAATTACATGAAACTTTGGAAATATAGGATATGCATCTCCTCTTTTCTACTCAAAACATTTTGAAAAACCCTTGGGTTTTTTTTTTTTGAGACATAATAATACTGTCTTTAATAAAAAAAATAACACCTTGGATTTTCCAACATAAACATGGATAACCATTAAGTTAGAACAGTATCAAATACACAGAAACATTCTAAATTTAGAAGTTTGAAGCTGCAGAACTATACAATACATTGGACTTACTGTGCTTCCCTGACAACTTACCTCCATTCCACATACTATATAAGATGATCTAACAACAACAACAAAAAAAAAGACTCCCAAAACCTCAATTTGTCATGTAATTGCTTCCCACATGGTCTATCTGTTGTGGCTTAGTATGTGCAAAAACCTGTCCCATGACCACAGACAAGCTCTAAGTTTGTCACCTCACACTACATAAGGACTGAAAACTTAAAATGAAAATCAACAGTTTGCTTAGTAGTCACAGAATACTCCACCTCTTAACACACACAACCCCAAAACAAACAAGAGAACACTATACCAATATATCCAGAAAAAGTTACAAGTTTCAAAATACTCCACAGGCTGGCGTAACTGAATTCATCTTATTGCTGTTTTGTTACAGTACAACAGCAGGTACAGAGTACCTTTTATTCAACTCCTCAGAATCTGTTCTTAAAGAATTTTGCTGACCACTGTGATGAAAGGGAGAGATCTTACAAGAATGTTAGCCTGCTGAGAGGGGTATTTTTATGTTTATTGAGTAATCTCTACTGTTTCCTTTCTCCTCCATCACAATCATCAACAGGAAAATGCTGCAAGAAATGACAGATTCTGTGACACTGAGTACTTGCATGGATGCATATGCACGGCTCTGTATATTAATTCACGTGTCCAAACAAACACTGAACATACATTATAAGAAAGAGATATGTTAGAACTACATAACTACACACTTTGGCTTGTCACCTGAAATGCATTTTAAAAAAAAAAAAAAAACACACACAAACCCCAAAAACCTTAGGTAAGCATCTGAAGCACGCTAGCTTTCACCTAAAGAATTTGTAGTTTTTCAGTAAAATTGCATTAGTTATAATACCAACAACTACTGCAAAGGTAAGCATACCGCATATTATTGAGTTCATAAGATCTCCTCTTGTAAGAAGCAACATATTCCAGCATGGTACAGTACAAGAAAACAAGAATTTAATTAAAATTCAGGTGGCTCACTGCAGGCTGCAATCACTAGCTTTTTGGAATTTTGGAATCCCATGTTTCAAGACAGAAGAAGAGACACTACAAAATACCTTTTTCTGCATTCAGTAGATAATGTATTCTAAGATGGATGAAGAGAGTAAGTTTACTTACTTGGAGATTTCTGTATTAGCAAATATTAGAGTGAAATGGCTCTATTATTACAAAGCATAGTGCTCAAAGAAGAAAGCTATACTTCATTCAGTACTACACTTCCCAATCTATTTGGAAAAAAAGAACCTGAAAAGGTTACTCTAAAATATGGATGGTTCCTACCTGTCGCTCTTGTACCAAGCATTCGCCGATCATATATTCTTACTGAGCTATCAGAACAACCCACAGCAAGATAGTATGGGATTGGTGGACAAATAGCAACAGAAGTGGCAGCCCGACGACAGTTTATTAAAATATCCTGGAACAAACAAAAATACAGCTTTCAAATATTAGCTCTGAACATTTGAAGTATAATTCTGTTTTTTACTTCAGGACACAGGGCCACTGGTAAAGGAGGTTTTGAGAAAACCAGGTCTGGCCCTGTGAAGACTGCAAATACATCAAACAGAAAAGCCACTGTAGAGAAGGAAAACTATCAGAGAAAGAAATATAGCATGAGATTAACCGAAAAAAGAAAACAAAGCAACTAGAAACAACCATAGGAACCAACATTTAAAAATAGGTAGGCTTAACTACTACAGATTTATAAACTAGCTTGCACCGTTGATTTTGCCATAGAAACATAGATAACCATTGAGTTCGAAGAGTACCAAATAAGCAGAAACAGTCTAGATTTAGAAATCTAAAGGATGAGAACAGATTTAATCTACAAGCAGATAACTGCATAGAGGAGAAGACAGAAGCCCCTAGAACTAGGAAATATGCACAAAGCAGAATAAAATTAATTGACAGTAGTAACATGTCATTTGGTGTCAAGTTATTCTCTAGTTCAGTGTTTCAGAAATCCAAGCACAATGGACACCACAAACACCTTAGCTTCTAGGGAATAATACCAGTGACTGATTTATCTAGTATAATTTATTACCCAATTTTTTTCTTACAGAGGGATAAAGGATGCTAAGGAACTGCAAGGCTGCAAATTATTTCCAACGCTCATTTTTTGCCTTTAACTCTGCACTCTATACTAACTAATGTGAACCAGAAAAAGAGACTCAATTTCAACAGTGAATCTGTCCTACCATATCTGAAGCCTCACAGCAAATTTCATAAACTAAAAAATGCTAAAGAAGATAAAATAAATAAATAAAAAGGAAATAGACTCCCCAAACTTTTTTTTTGTTTCTTGGGAAACATGTTGTCATCTCCACCAACGACCCTGAAACCTATTATTTCTAAAAGCCTTACCAGAATTCATATCCTATGTTTGTATGATGTACAGCTCTACATTTAGGTCATCTTTATTAAAAGATTTCACTCTTACATCTTTACAATCTTCCTTTGTGCAACTTGTTTTGATTCGAGTATCAAACCATCTTACAGTGCCATCTTCACCACAAGAGAGGAAAGTATAGGGATCATTTGGTACTGTCATAATCTGCTCAAAAAAAAAAAAATAAAGAGTATTAAGACTTCAAGGAATACCATTAATTTAAAAATAAAAGCATCAACATTCTTAGCATCAGTAAAGACTCAAGCTACAATTCAAGCTAAGCTTTCAATTGAAATAAAGAAGAAAACTGAGAAACTGCCAAGGTTGCTCCATTTTCAAGAAAATGTTTAACTACTGAAGTTGAACTGTGGAATGCCACAGATTAAATATTTATAGGTTAAAGCTTACAGTTATTTCTATTATCTTTTAATAAGCAACATACATTTTCTGCAATCAAGTTAAGTAATCCATTTGCTGCAATAATTCAACAGAACCTCTGTTTATTCTCTATCAAGTAATAGAAGGCAGTAACAAACAAAACATTTGGAAGTCTGAGTGATGGGAAAGTACTAGATGGCCTTTATTCTCAGTGGGCCATTCCTTTACATTCAAAGTAGTCACCTGAAGCAACTATGCATTAAAGGTTGATCCTAACCTACCCCCCACTGTACTTTTTGAGAGAGCATTGTGTTGCACCATTTTCCTGACCTCAGCCCTACTCAAGCTACAGAAGATTCAGATAGTCTCAACATGTACGGCTTTACTCAAGAAGGCCTCCACAGTGTTAAAGCTTAAGTCCGCAGGTTAACGAACACACATGGAACATCACGTTTCTACATACTATCCCTTAAATACAAACCAGAGAATGTTGTCAAAACTAGCAGTATTTTTCTTTTTCTACACTACTCATACTATCAGTGACTTCACAGAAATTTATAAACCTGCAAAAATCAATAATAGTGTCATACACTAATGAAACAGAGCAAATAAGGGATGCTTTAACACTTTTTATGTGACGATTTATTCTTCCCTTCCCCCCTTAATAAAAGTAACATAGATATCTGTAAATTTCTCTGCCTAAAGTGGGATTACAAAGGTAATCTATGCAGAATTCAGCATTTTTTCTTGTAATGCTCAGTACGTTAACCAACACATGTGCTGTGCCAAACTCTGTGTATTGGTGACAAACAAGAATTTTAACAGACAAAACGATGCCAAGATTTTGATAACAATGCAACAAACTTGTGAGCTATGACCATTATTGTTCAATATGTTGGCACAAAATATTAAAGTGTTTTTCACTACATGTTCACTCTAATTTTATTAGTGTAGTTATAAAAGCCAGCAATTTTTCTTCCTTTCACTAAATCTTTCCAGCTTTTTTGCTGTATTTTGATGCAGACCTTTCACTGAAAGAAAGTACTTTTTTCCAGAAATGTTGCTGCACATGGTATAGCACAGCAAGCCTTTATTTCTCGTGGCCATATTTTATTTTTTCTATTTCACAGCAGACACGTAAAAGTACAGTACATACCTCCTATTTGCACATGCCAATTTTTATTCACTGTGCTTAAAAACATATCAAGTACTTTATAAGCACTATAACAGAGAATTTGAGAAGTGCCGACTCCAATAATTAAGTCATATTTACATTCAATAAGTACACGATATATACAATATTCGTTTTCACTAACTAAAAAAATTGTTTTATATTTAATTTTTAAAATATATAGCTATATGGTCATTTTACTGTATTGAAAATATGAAAGTAAGAGATGTCCATAAAAGTACATTGTCTTTCTGAAATACAATTAATATGAAGCACAATAAAGACAAACGTTTGGCTGAGTAAAAATAAACTTGTAGTGGCCTCGTATAAACAAGTTATCCAGAAATGTTTCAGGAACTACTCTCTCCCTCTCTACTTACTCTATTCTCCCCTAGAATTAACAACAGCTGTCCAATTATCTCACAGTTCATCATCTACACAAATTTCCATATTCCTCTGGTTCAATGGATATTTTTCTAACATCCTGAATTACCAGAAACGTCAAGAATAAAGTGCAGTATGTATTCAAACCACATTTAAATTTAGAATTAGTACCTCAGGGACAGATGATGTTAGCTTTTGTTATTTAGAGAATCCAATGAGTCAAAGTCCTATATTTAATACAGTGATGTGGTTACAAACTGCTGGGCAGTAACGTCATATTTTGAAGTTGTTCTCCCACTCCAGAAACCCTTCAGTGACAAAGTTGTGTGATATCAGAAGATGAAGCTGTATCTCAGCTATTTGCTTAAAACTCCCTGCTATTTACTCTACTATATTTCCATATGCGCAGGCTCAAAGAAGGGTACACTATGCCACACAGTAATGCATGCATTTAATGTTCAAATATTCGGTTTAAGACAGAGTAACAATTTATAATCTTTGTAAAAAGTACCTCCTAAAATGTTTTCTAAACTTGACTTTTTGAAGAGAGTTAAACCTCAGTGCAAAACTGATTATGAAAAATAACTTCAAAAAGAGACGCACAGCTGTTAAAATAGTCAGTGTCATATAGGGGTTTTGAGATTCCTTCCATTAACTGTGTTTCAAAACAGTACAAACAATCAAAACAGTATCACACTACTGTCATTCAAAACAACAGTTATGTCCTTGTGTTAACATTTGCTGAATAAAAATATTCCCAAATACCACCCTTTTTGCTGTGTAATATAGTAGTCAAATGTCCATACTCTCTTCAGCTCCTGATTTTGAAGAAATTTACTATATTTGTACAACTAGTCACTGTTCAGTTATTGCACATGGACAACAATAAAACTTGCACCTCAATTCGGTAGACTGTTGGGCTTCCCATATTTCTTCTAAAATATTTCCCATTACTGTCTGTTTGGATGAGTTTAATTTGTTGTACCTACCAAATTTATATTTATGAACTGGTTTAGTTGCTTGCAGTATGCATACCACCATTATCAATGACAAACAACACCTTGCAAAGAGACAACCAGCATTTCATATTACAGGCCAGAAGTGGTATGTTCTAGTCCGTTCCTATTCCTGACTCACAAGCACAACTGGCAACTGCTTTCATGGAACTTTCCCAGTTTGATCACTGGTTTGCAGCACCACCTGGTGTCAGCCACTTGTCTCTTGGTCAACGCATGCTCAAGTAGATTGAAACTTAAGACTGCCAAAGTGACATCTCATGATGACTTTTATGCTGCCAACAACTCTTTCATTTGCAGTACTCTGAGCAGCCTAGCCCATAACCCCAAACTTCACACACCCAAACTGACAGTTCTAATGCTACTGCTACCACTGCCTTCATGTCTCCTCAGCACAGTGTCCATAACCATCTTTCAGTTCTCAAGCACAAAAATATCATGCTCAGAGGAAGCCACACAGGAAACAGAGGTACCAGCTGAGCCAGTTGCTCCTCAAGCCTGAAGCCAGGCAGCAGGGAGAGGCCCTTACTTCCCCAGGAAATCACAGTGCAACAACCTGACAGACTCCCTCCTCAACAAGGACATTTCAGCATTAAGAAACAGTGTTTCAGACTCCAGATGTTCATATGAAAAGGCAGCTTTTTTTTTGTGAAACAGAGAATATCCAAACAACTTGCAGAACCCACCAACTAGCACACAGACTAGTATATATAGCAAACTTTGGTGAGAGCTGAAGCAGTTCAAGCTTCTGAAGGGGGGCCATAAGGGCTGATGCCATCCATAGGAAGCAATATTTTCTCATTCAAAACAAATCTCAAAAATAAAAGCAGACGACATGAGCCTGGGATCCAGAATAATGTTTTGCAAAGCTGAAAATAGAGTCTTGTATTAAATACTGGCAAAACCCAAACCACAAGCCCCAGAAATAGGGTCAATATCACTAGGTTTGCTCTACTGACTTAAAGTTACCTTGCTGACAAGAAGCATCTTCGACAAAAAACTTTAATGGAACGTGTAACCACAACCATGATGATAGTTTCACTACATGAACAAAAATTAATTCTGGTAGTACTTCAGCCATTTTATTTTTTCATATACATTTTTCACAGACCACAGATATTTTTAAATAATTTGTTCACTTAGCATACAAAGAAGATGACTTAAATGCTTGCTATGAAGTTTGAGTTAAATAGTTACAAAAGTACTGGATTTGCAATTTTTTTCCCCCTCATGTGTGTACTGTGATAATATTAAAGCATTTTAAAAAACAGAAACCTACCAAAAAACCTGGAACATTTATAATCTACGAAGGAAACCACAGTAATTTTTTTTTTATTTTAAGCAGTTTTATAAGCAGCAGATTTTGCTGCCATTAAAATAAATAGATTAATAAATCGGATTATTTTCCTAACTTAAGTAATATTTTGCTTCTTCATTTGCCTACTTATATGAACAAAACTTACAAGGGAGGATCGAATACACTGGCTCTGAATTTACATATAAAAGTGTTAACTAGAAGAGAAAATAGACAAATTACCTAAAATTGTAAGTACATTTTTCAGATTAAGTTATTTACACATCCTGAAATAAGCACTTCTTAGAAGCATTTAAATTGTGAAAAAGGCATTAAACTGCTGAAAAGCTGGCAGGGGAAAAGAAGAAAAATAAAAATGCAAAACACAGCCACTGCCCCCACCTCCTAACCTACTTCAGAAAGAAATTCACAGTACATATTAAATCAGTTTTGCTCTGCAAATGACTCTTTCAGTGAAGGTGTATTCAGTTATTATATTTACAAAGAAAGTGGTCTTATCAACATTACTTTTTGGAAAGCCCTCCATTTAATTTAGACAACATATTTCTCTTTTAAAGCCTACCCTGAGGAAAAAAAATCCTTTAACTCAAAAAAGCTAGAAGGAAGGCTCTTTAATGCTCACTGAAATAAAGCTTCCAGCAGACTGTTTAAAATCTTACGCAACAAGACAAGAAAACATATATTCTACCTATCTTAAAATTTTTATATACTTTCGTGAGGTACCTCATAGGTAGTTCCATAGTGGCACGTATATTGGCATTGTCTGTTGGTCTCCGCATCTTGTTCAACATTAGTGTAAAAAATAACTCCATCTCCAGAACAAGATACAATCTGTTTGTCATTGGTGCACGGTAAGAATTTTGCACTAAAAATATTGGCCCTGTGTCCTGAGCGAATGGTTGTTAAAACCTAAGTTAGAAAGAAAAAGGAAGGCTGTATCAGGTTAATATTTTCAAAGCAAATTTAAAAAAAAAATAAAAAAAAAACCAAAACACCACAACATAACAACTCACCGAACAAACCACAAAAAAACAATGGAAAATAACAGACTCTGGTACTATAAAACATCAGTTATACATAAGCTGCTAGTAACCTACAGCTTAATACAATAGAACAGAGAAGCTGTCTTTACACCAAGTTTCTTCTAAGAACAAAGTGGTTCCACAAGAGGCATTCACTCATGCACTTGCACAAAGTAGTCTGCAAAATTAAGAGACTGGAATATAATTGCCATCTTCTGTTTTTAAAATACTCATTACATATCTGTATCTGGTCTGGCTGAGCTGATTTTCCATAGCAGCCCTCCTGGTGCAGTGCCTTTGTGTTGGGAGTTGGAAGGGTGTTGATGGCACCCATGCAGTGACTACCTCTGAGCAGTGCGCACACAGCACCAAGGCTCTTTCTAACATTCCCTGCACAATGGGATGGGGGGGGGGGGGGGGCAGGAACTTGGGGTGAATATAACATAACCAGAACAGCTGACCTGAACCAACCAAAGGGATATTCTAGACCATATGACATCAGCTCAACTATAAAGCTAATACAAGAGCAGGGTGGAAGGGAGCTACTCCTTGGTCCTCCGGAGCAACCGCTACGTGTTTTGGAGCCCTGCTTCCCAAAATGCTTTCAGGGATCAGACGTCACCTGACTATGGCAACTAAAGAATAAATCTTGGGTGTTTTTTCCTTCTGCTCCCACATGCAGCATTGCTTGGCTTTGCTTTCTAATTAAACTGCCTTTGTTTTTACCCATACAGGGTTTTGTCTCCATCTTATTTTCCTTTCGCCTGTTGCGCTGTGGAGGAGGGAGAGGAAAGGGGGAGGGTGGTAGAGTGGCTTGGTGCACATCTCTTGCTCAGCCAGGGTTAACCCACCACAATATCTCATCAGGTTTCTCAAAGTCAAACATCAGTCCAGGGTGATAGTGCAGCCAGCCAGCATACCAATGAGGAGAAATTTAGAAGAACTGGAACATCATGAGTCAAGAATAAGGCACTGTAATCAAAGCCAACTTTACAGATTCTAAAAATTGAAACTAGTCTTAAAATAAAATCACTTTTAAAAGGAGAACTGAAGTTTATAAGAAAGGATGTTTAGAAACCAGTCAAAAATAAACATTTAAGAACATGATTACAAGGCAATAAAATAAGACTTGACTTAGTCTCCATGCAATTCATCTACAGTACAGCAGAGAAGCTTATCATTTACTTGACCATCACAGCTGCTTTTAAACATGTGGTGATGACTTTAGATTTCCTTACTTACTTCTCTTTAACTTATTACTTTTCAGTTGTCAAAACTGAAAAAAACTTCCATATGCTTTCCTGTGTGCTAGTGACTACTCTATTCTTACCCTATTTCTCCTATCTGCCGCATTTAAACCATACTGCATTTTCACCACTAACAGGAACGATACTTACCAAGAGGTTTACAGTATGCAAATTAGTTCAAAATTTCCACTCAACTTAATCCAAGAAAGCATTATGCAAATGAAGATGCTCTCTCAGTGATAACCTGATATTTCACAAGCGATATTCCACATCTTTTAAACAATTCACACAAAAAAATATTAACAGATTACCTGCATATTCTGAAAGATACACAAGGCTAAGTATTTTTCTTTAATATTATAAAAATCAGGAGATACAATTAGTTTTATTTCAATAAATCTGCCTCTTCATTTAGGTTTGTTCAGATCTCTGCATTTTACTGAAAACACTCAGAAGAAATTAGGAACTTGGTATCAAAGGAGCAACTCAGAACACAAGTTCACAAAGCATCCCAGTTCAGGTGACAGTTACAGATGTCACCTTTCAATCCAACCTCTGATTTTATATTATTGCTACTGTGAAATAAATATTTTTGTCCTGACAAAAAATCCTTTTTGATTTCTGTAATTAAAAAACAAAAAATAAACTTAAACAACCATGGTCTTCTCTACCATCTTGCTAGTTCTCCAAAACTTCCATGTTATATGTGCTTCTTTCTTTCCCCCATTTTTCTCACAAGCCCCAACCTAACACTCTTGTTCTTCATGCAGTAAATAGCTAACTTACTCTAACCTTCTGCTTCATTTCTCCCCATCTGCAGATCTCAGTTTAGACATGGAAATCTACATTTGATGATTGCCCTCAAACCTGAAAAACCTCCTGTTTTCCTCTTTCTCCCTTCTTTCCTCCACTGTAAACTGAAACAGCATTCAGAAATACACAGCTAACACATTTTCAGTGAAGAGTTTTCTCACAGGCAGACCTAACCTCACCTTGCCTGCCCTCAATTTCCTATGTTGCACAGTGTTGCAATAAAAAGTAGTAAAGTATTACAGCCCTTATATGCACAAGATTTTCCATGTACTTCTTAACTTGCACTGAATATCTTTTTCCACTTTGGTTATTCTACTGCCTTAGAGAGGAGAAAAAATTGCATAAAAAGTTGCTGGTGTCTAGGCAGCAAAAAAGATAAAAAAGAAGTAACCCAAGCATCACCCAAAAGCCTATCATTAGCTACGCAGAGTAAAACAATACCACCACCATACTCCATTGGAGCATTTTACTACTAACATGTAACAGGCCAGAAATACTTAATGATTGAGGATAAAGGAGATGAGGAGAACAAAGGATTTCAGATGTTCTTCAAAGTACTTGACTAGTTGTAGTAATTGGGATATACTTATAGCTTTTGGAATTGCTTCAGTAATATGCTACACAGAAAATCAACTGAAGAAGAAACAAATTCAAGAATTTGCATATTTTAAAAACACAGATTAATTCATGTAGTGTTCCCAGAAACTTGCATACAAGCTCCATCCCTAACAACAAGTACTTCCCTCCTAAAAAGTAGAATTTCTGGCAGCTACTCTATTCTCTTATTTAAACCTTACATGTTTAAGTTCCATATCCAAATGGAAACACTTTACAGTAAAAAGTTACCATAATGAACAAAATTTTTAAGGTCACATTAAAAACTAAACCCAATTTTAAAATGCGGGGTTTTTTTCCACTCTGGCTTACTTTTTGCAAAGAAGCCTATTGACGAAAATGCAAGTCAAATTTCAGTAGGTTACTAAATTGTTCAGTATGTTGTTAATTTAGGGTTCTCATTCAAGATACTCTGCACAGAATCACTTACAATCCAGCCTTTTCAATAGGACTTAACTTTGAAAAGGTCAAATCTCTTTTAGAAGTCAAGGAGAACAAACCTAACAGAAACCCATCCTAAAGTGAGAAATAGCAATCCTGATTCTAGAAAAGCGGTAAACCTTCAGCCCCACTATGCATCCTCCAAAGCTTCCCAGCACTTTCCCATGGGACCTGAACCCTTTCTCTTCCAGAAGCAAACCAGGCTAAAGATTCAAAAACCCCAAGTGTAACTACACATAAGAATCCTGTCTTTACACTGGTATTAGCTGAGAAGAGTGTTTGGCTCCTTTTAAAGCTCCTGAAAACTAAGTGCTCAGCCTGATATAAATACACAAATTCCCATCTTTTTCTACTATACTTGTAGTGAGTGGACCTTTAGCTCCAGCCAAATTCCTCCGCCTTTCCACCTCTATCAACATGATGCCTAAAGCAAATAAAATGAGGAAGACCCACAAGAATTCCTCTCAGCTATCCCAAAGTATTAATAAACCATTCTTCCTTTTGATTTAGACTTGCAATTACTATTAGAAATCACAATAGCACATTTCTCTTCACATGCATAAACACTATAAACACACAACGTATTCAAACTTGGAAACAAAACAATTTCTCCTTCTGAGACACATTACCTAGTAACAATTAACATTTGCATCTGGCCATACATAACAGAAACTGTAAGTAAGAGTTAAATAAGATTAAAAGCTTCCTTATTAAATCATTTTACTAACACAGAAGACTATATTGATGGCTGAAGTCTATTTTTGCTACTCTTGTTAGCTCATAACAGAGTATAGTGATAAGGACATCTGCCCAGATGACAGAATTACAGTAGAGTTCTGGTACAAATACCAATTTCCTCACATTTCCTATATTTATTCTGTTACTCAAGCCAGAGAAAATAAGCTAACAGAATTGGAACAGTCATTAAAAAATTGCAGCTCTAGTACATCTCAGGAACAACACTGATTATTCTTCTTGCTAGTACTTGCTGGTTTATAATTGCATTTGCATATATTGGGGAGGAAAAAAAAAACACTTATCTGCTCTGTTACGTAAAAAAAAAAAAAACCAACTCAGATGACTGTTAAAAGTAGCAAAACAAAAAGCTCCTATATTTCTCACTTGACTTAAGTGCAGCAGTAGTACACAATGGAGGAAAAAGCCCTAATCATACCATGAAAGTATAAAGTTGAAATTGCTGCATCTATTAAAATATGGCAATATTTAATATAGTTGTATAATAAGAAAATTATATAGCAATTATGCCATAGTGATATATTAAACTCTGAAAAATAATAATATTGAACATCCTTTACTTGCATGAAAAATATTTACTTTGCAATACTCTCCAACACCATTTACTGTGGAATATATGCCTCATCTGCTTCACAACTGTCTTAGACACCTCCTTTTCTTTAGCTGAACTCACAGTGCCAGAGAAACCCTGGACTAAGGACACTTTTCCACCCTGAAATGCTGGGGTTTGAACCTCAAGCACCCAAATTAAGGTTGACATATGGGTGACTCCCACAGCCCTTCATAAGAGGTGGTGAGTTTGCCTTATAGCTTCCCCCCAGGGTGGGGCCGGCCCTGCAGGGAGAGCCAGAAGGGAAATGAGCCCCAGGTGTGGTGCATTAAGTAACAAAGGTCCGGTGTCCTGCTTGGGGATAAAAAGCTGGGACCACTTGCAGGAAGGGAGGAGTGTCTGTCTGTGAAGTGGATGCACTTCACAGAGCTTCCTGGTTGAGGAAGGACCTCCTGATTCTCCTTGTAACTAGGCCCTGGTCAGCTTGGACCTTTGTAAACATGGGCTAGGAGGGTGAGAGATGGCCACATGGCTACCTTTCTCTTACGTGTTTAATCTGTTGACCTGGCTGTTTCCCATTCCATCTATGGGAAGCCTTGGTTCTTTGTTTGTTCTGCCTATTGTTGGTTGGGTGATGTCATTGTTGGGATCGTTGGGGGTAATGTCAACTGCATGTGAACTAATTGACTTGTTTGTACCTCCAGCGATCATTCCTGGAATGTCTTTTCTATATTCAATAGAGTCCACTAACTGATTTGTCTTTCTGCTGGTTGTGTCATTCATGCTAGGCCTAGTAATTGGCAAAACACACCCACACGCATGCACACAAACGGCAATGTAATTTCAAATGGTAATAAATCATTTTAATCAAGATTGTCATTTCAACAACATCACACAGAAAGCCAATTCAGCATATTACATATAGCAAAAAATACCGTATTCTAAAACGAACATGACACAGAAAATAATTTATCTGACTGTAAGATTTCACAAGAATTACTGAATCCTATTGCTGATTCTGACACTAATCTGTCATGAGACCACGTTCCTTTTGTGCCAGACCACTTACCATAAAATGGGATAATACCTATACCACAAAGGATTAGAATACTAAGGTTTTAAAGCACTGTGAGCTTTTATTCCTATTTATAAACACTATAAAGTTCCTGATAGTATCTTTGTCAGACAATAATTAATATGTGAAAGATAATACCTTGAAGAGTATTTTAATATCTTGAAAAATAATAAATCTTATTTGAAAATTATCAAGTATCCAGAAACAAACCTACCTTTCTGTGGTAGGGATTACTTATTACCAGATTGGTGTCATCTGAACCAGATAAAATATACTCCCCTGTATCATTCCAGCAAATTGTATTCACCTGCATGAGTTAAAAAAAAAAATTAGTTTAGACTTAAATTTTTAGAATATTGAAACATCAATACTCATCCAACACTACAGAAATAGGAGTTAAATTCAATTGAAAGGATATAATTTCTAAGCAGCTAGCACCCAAAACAAACAAACAAACAAAACCCTTGTGTTTTTAAAAATATTGATAAGAGAATCACCTGCTTCACCTATGGCATCTCAATCTCATCTCCCTTGGCTCCTGAGAATTATCAGGTAAAATAAGCTCTTTCTACAAGCTCTCCAGTAGCCACAGTTAGTACATTACAGCAACTGAATGTGTAAAAATCTACCCCACAGAGTTCTCCAGATTTGAACTCGGGGGAATCACAATGCTCTCATTGTTGTATTTTCACCATATTCAAATTCTGACTATCCGTTGCTTTGTACACTTTTCAGTGACCACACCTGAGGAATCATATAAAAAGCACTGCAGAATCCCAGATCCCTTCTGAGAAGTGTATGTTGGAAAAAAAGCAGCCTACAGTGAGGTACTGAATTGTATTGAGAGAACTTCACAATATATTTCCTTATTCCTATTCCTCAATTCCCCTTTTCACAAGACTGTGTTTAATAATGTGTCAGTGAAATAAAGCAGTATAAGCACTCAAAATCCAGGAAGCTCAGAAGTTATCCTTAGAGGAACCTGTCTTCCAACAGCAGCTCATGCACAAGCACCAAATACTGGATGTATGACTATTATTATTTCAAGTAGCCTCTAAAATAGTTTAAAACTTTAAACTGCAACCATCAGCACTTTCTGTTAGCTATATTCTGTTAGCAGAATAATTTAGTGTGATCTATGAGAATAGACTATACAATTAGAAAAAAAAAGAAATTCATTCTAAATCCTTCTGCTTTCTTTTAATTCAAATGTCTCATTCTGAGCCCAAAAGACAAAACTATTTTTGTTTAAAATAAATATATACCTATTTTAGCTATTATTTTAATCACAAGCTTAGTTGAGGACCTTAATTAGGTGAAGTCACAAAATCAGAATTAGCTGGTTTAGATGGTTCATACGGGCAACAACTTGACATATTAACATACTAAAATATTTAATATTAAGATTCAAAGGAATTTTTGCCACTCAGGAAAAAAAGTAATTTAAAAAGAAAAAAAAAAATCTTCATGCTACAACAGACATGCCTATAGCAGAGTTAGCTCAATGCTCAGCAGCAGTCAGATAATATTAGAAATCACTAGGAAATGCACAGAAAAGCAAACATTCTGTCAGTGTATACATCCACACATGGCAAATCTAAATCTTCCACACTATGCAGTTTTGGTTCACCTCCCACTCCCATATTTTCCCTTTCTGTTTCTGCCCATTTGAAAAGAGAAATTATGAAAAAGAATGACTACAGTGATCAAAGGTATCTAACACTTTTTATTGCAAGAAGTAATTAATTTGTACTGTTTTGGAGAGGGGATAGGACAGAAGCATATGAAATCGTGAATGACATGGAAAAAGAGAAAAATAATTTCCCATGAGTCTTTACAATACAGAAAATGGAAGGCCCTCAATGAAATCATCACATGACACATATGGTGTTTTATTAAAACTGGAATTCTTTGTCATGGAATGTCTTAAACACTAGAAGTGGAAAAATATACATATCCAAAGAAAAATGAAATATCAGAAACAAAAATGCTACTTTCACCTCCATCTGTCCAATAAAGTGTGATGTGTTCTCTAGAAAACCCTTCAAGTGCTGTCTGCTTGCCCTGTCTTAACTTTCCTCAAAAATCAGTACTGGTCACTGCCAGGGCCAAGTTACCAGGCTCCACTCTGCACTGGTATGACCTTGCATGGCTACTCCTATGATTTTATAACCCTGACTGTCAATTACCAAAAACTATGCATTCAACTATCCCCCAGATCCATCTATCATTTAAGTGACAACAACTGTACTTTAAAAATGTTGTCAAACACAGCACAGTACTAGAGCTAGGGCAAACACAAAGCCCAAGAATGTTCATTTTCATCTAATATCCTCTCCGACAGAAAAATATTATCATTGCCCTAAAGAAATCAAAATACTAATACAAGGATACAATAATAGAAACAAGAACAAAACACTGAAAAAACACAGAATCTGCCAAGAAAGTAAAAACCATGACATAAAAAGAGCTAGAAAAAAAATGAAACCACTTGAGGAGGGTGTGTGTAGGGGTGTGTGTCCAAGAACAAAATCTGAAGGATTCAAAAGCATTGAAGATGCAAAGCTGAGACACGATTATCTAAACTGCAGCATCATAAGCCTACACAAGATATCACTCATTTTCCTTCTGGTCCGACTGCATTGCTCTGATTGCCTCAGGGTTGAGCAATTTCAATACACCCTACCCAGGGCCAAGTCGGTTCAGAAAAAATCCTGAAGTGAGATGACATAACTAAATATGTGCTAGAGGTCTACAACTAAACAGGCTTTTGATTCTGTATCAGATTACCTTCTCAATATCACTGTCAAAAAAATCAGTCTTTCAGTAGAATAAGCTTGACTTGGTTTTTTTTGAGACTAATTTTCCAGTAAGTTATCAGTCAATACACTACATTTTCGTGTTCAGTACAACCTACTGACCAACAGTGAATAACCCCAATAAAGACATGTACAGATATCTAAAAACAGATGCTTGGTAAGAGCAGATTAAAAAAAAGTTCTCATGTCTTATTCCATGGTCGCATACCCATTATTAAAACACAATTATATAAAATAAGAACTAGCTAGAAAATTGGTTTGTATTTCAAAACAGTGTAGAAAAGCTACTTATCTACTACCTTCATAGCCATCCCACATCCAGCTAAAAGCACAATGTAATAGCTATTACACTGTTTGAAATTCTTGGAAAAAGTTGTTAGAGTAAAAAGAAAGGATCTATCAAACACAAACGACAGATTATTACTGAAAAGTTGAGAAAAGTCAAAGGGTGTGTAATTTTTTTTTTTCTATGAAGCATTTCACATTAATCAACTGTATTTAATTTTATTTGCAACTCAACTAGCCTTGAAAGGAGCAGCAGTCACTTTTGATTCATTAGTCAAATATTAACAAATAAATCTACCGTCCCTGTGTTTTCCTCAAAGACAATGCAGAAGGCAGTACAGCCAATCCTTAAAAAAATGAAAAAGGAAACTCTTTGCTTCTATGCAATGTAAGAGCAGATTGAACTGTTTTGTGAACAGGATAGATTAACAGAATACAAGAAATAGAAGAAATAGAAGAAAGAAAATAAAAATTACTGTAGATATCAAGAGCGTCAGAAAGATCTTCCAAGCAAGGAAGGGGGTGAAAAAGGCACTACTTTTCATCTGTGGAAGAAAGGGCAAAACCTACACATTCTATCAATATGCAAACAAGCTTCCTATTTAACCATAGGTTTTAGGACCACATCTCAAAATGACTTGCTCTCAAGTGCCATCCTGAAGGAGATGTATGTCACACAGGTTGCTTGTTTGGTACTGAAACGAATGTCTATACACAGAAATACAGAATTATTCTTCCATGTAATCCTCTATATTTTAATATGTAATATTTCAGTCAAAAACTCCATCTACCTATGCATTCTGTAGTTCTACCTTCTCCAGCTTTCACAGGACCAGAGGTGGATACAAAGCAATACTTTTACTCAATCAATGTAGCTTAGAGTTGCTTTCTCCTCTACTTTCCTCACACTTCTTCACTGCTGGTCCAAACTGATTGCCTTTCAATATTTCTCCTTTGCAGTTACCCACTTCATACAGAAAGCATCTCACCTAACCCTGTGCATCTCCTCATCATCTTAAGCTCCCTTTAGAATTAACACGGAAAACGGCAACTTCTGACATACATATGACCTGACCAAACAGGACAATGTGAACACTGTTGAATGAGGCAAATCATGCCTTTGAAACAATAAAGTTGCAAGCAGATATCAATGATTCAGTAGACTAATTCAATTACTTCAAGTATTACTGCTAGAAACTGTCTTCAAATGAAGTGGAAAACTGCACTAGTTCAAAGACAGGTACCTAAACTCTGAGATTAAAATACTCGTATCTCAAACAAAAAGGTGCTGTGGTAATACTACTACTATAAGAGCACATATACTTGAAGTAATTCAGAGAAGTACTCCCTTCTTCAAAGATATTGTACCTGAGTATGATTACACATACAGTTGTACTTCCCCACAGGACCTCTTTTTTGTGTAACATAGATAAAATGGTATGTAGGAAGTTGGACTTTATTTTTATCCTTCATTAGAAAAAAAAAAAATAAAAATCTTGCCTTAGGTTAGTTGTCTACCATGTCCAATTACACAGTATGCTTTATATAGAAAATACAAGCCACAACTTATTCCACAGAAGAATGTGAATGTTCTTAACAAAAAAAAAAAAAAAAAAATCAAAACAAACAAAAAACCCCAAAAAAAAAAAAAAAATCAAAAAACTTTCCTAAAAAAAAAATTTAAAAAAAAAAAAAAACAAACAAACAACAAATCCAGAAACACCCTTATGACAATTATTGCATTCACTCCTCACATTTGAAATGCATGCTGATTAAGCACTTGGGTGGGGCACTAACATGATAATTTGCCATTGATAGAATAAGAAATTTAATCAGTAATTTAATTTACTTTTATTTCACAGATTTTTTTTTAAAGCAAGTGATAAGAAATTGTAGTGAATGGTTGTTAGCCAAAAAAGATTATTCCCCCTGGAAAAAAAAAAAAGACATCTTTCAAATTGCAGCAATATTTTAAACACCTGCATATAATGCAGTAAAGTTCACAATTAAAACATTTTCCACACAGTAAAAAAATTAAGTTAGACCACATGTTAAAGCACACTTTAAAAGCTACCACAATCAACTCAAAATGAATTTTCAAACACATATCCGCTAGGTAGATTCAAGCAAATAGCCAACACCAAATTTGCAATTTCGTTTCCACGACACAGAGGTTGAGATCAGTTACTCCATTTTTAACAAGTAGCAAAACCCCACTATTTTCCCGTTCCTTATTTTATTGGCAAAAAATACTATTTTTACAAGAAAACAGATTTTTAAAAGATCCTAAACAACTTCATGAACAGACATTGGAAAATTTTAATCTTAAGTATATTTGAAAAAGTACTAAGAAAGAAATTTTAAACAAAAAATCAGTTACAATCTTGAACTGATAAATAACTTTCTAGACATAGAATCATAGAATCATTTGGGTTGGAAGAGATCTTATATTATCATTCTTATAAAATTTCTTGAAAAAAACCAGGGAAATTAATGCATTTGGGTTTTTAGGTCATCACTATCTGTACCAGAACATAAACTTACAATGGTAATCAGTACAGCAAAAGTAGCTGACTTTATACATACAGCGATTATAATCCTTGCTGTTCCCAGCCTTTCTAATCTCTCAAAAATATATAAATCAAAAATCACACTTGCAATCTCAAGCCAAAAGGTTAGATTAACACTTTCTTTAAAACTACTACTATGTTATTTGCAATTGTAACACTCCTTAATTTAAAGTGACAAGTGTAGGCAGCTCAAGATAAAATAAAAAAATCTTTACGTTTGAACAGCTTTTGAGATAAACATGTTAAGGTGTAAATTTTACACTTAACATTTTCACTTTTTAGATAATTTCTAGCATCCTTTCACGTTTCAGTTATCGTGTACAACAAAGACAATTCTCTAACAGTCATGAATTTCTGTTCTATTCAACAAAGGCAATATGGCAATTTCTTTTCCCTATATCTAGTTTAAGTAAAATCATTTATTTAAAAGAATATGAGCTACAATATTTGAACCACTTTCAAAAATTAAGTATTTAAATAAGCAATACTTCAAGTTATATTGTTGCATTTCAGGGCAGGCTTGTTTTTGGTTTTACTGCCTCCTTACATAGGAATGTAGCAGTTCATTTGCTTTTTAGACTTGGAGAATAAATCATTCAGAACATTAATACAGCTTTGAGTCAACAAAATATATCAACATAGCACAAAACTACTAAAAATTCCATTTAAAGGTTTTAAGATGAGTGCTAACTGAAAAGATAGAAATACGTTTCCTGGCTTAGGAGATTAATTCATTCAGTAGTGGGATACAGTATTAAGGTACTGGAATGGGATTTCGTTTTACTTCAAAGGTCAGATGTTGAAGATGAAACAAATACCTAGATACTTCAGAATACTGATGTTGAATTCTCAACAAGCAGTTTTACAGCACACCTTTAATACCATTTGCACTTTTAAGTTAAGGAACTATTATTGTGGCGACAAAGTTACAATTTAACCTATCTTAACAAACAAAAAGGCAAGTGACTTACACATCCATCATGCACATTCAAGGTTGCTTCAAGTTTTAATCTTTGGATAAATTCCCTTCTCCCTGTAAAGAAAAATACTGATTACAAACTCTTTTAAAACAGTAACACTGAAGAAGTAACCAAGACCCTGCTAACAGGTACTAACAGGTAAAAAGCAAAACCATAAAGAACCAGAATATAAATGAAAATCTTAAAGCAATTCAGATGGTTCTTATTTTACAAATTCTAACACAATCATCGCATTTGCTAGCACTTCTACCACCTTTAATAAGAATGCAGAAACATCAAAATGAATATTCCACAGGTTCACAGGCTGATGTTTCTTCCAAACTAACAGCTATAAAGCAGAAAATAACCTTGTGGTTATTTGTTAGCTCAAAGACAGCAAGTATAACATAATTCAAGAAGTACAATCTTTTGTAAAGGAATATAAAGAAGAATATGTTTAGGTCTCAAGTAGAAAGTAGAACACTGTAACTGTTGGAAAGGTGATGTGAAAGGAAGAGATAAAGAAGAAAGAAGAAATCTATAAATGTGTATTGAGTAAGGCAAGGGCACAGGAACTTTCTGTCCTCATTCCCTATATACAAGCTGACCTCTGTGCTTAAAAAAACTCCTGTACTAAACACATCAGAGGAAAAGATAAAGTACTTTGAAAACAATTTGGTCTCTTGTTGAACAAATAGCTCCAATTTTCAAGTGCCCACATTTTAGGAAAACAGACTATAATGAACTAATAGTCACCAGCAAGCACTTTCAGAAAAGATGAATACTGACAATCTTTTTGTTTAAATTCTAAAAGCGCTTAAACTCAAGGACCATTACATTTTTTTGTCCCATGTTCAAAAAACTCTCAGCACAAAACTCCAGGTAACAACACTAGGCTGTACTGTTATCAAATATGAAATCTACTGAACTCACTCAAAATTAACCTTCCCGCCTTCCACTGCGGAAACTAGAGTCAGGGAAAGAAGTGCAACAGAATCCTCTCCATACCTGAAAACCTACCATTTCTGAACTCATTTTAGTTCAGCTCAAGGCAGAACCATTTGAGAGCCCAGTGTTGCCCCTGGCACTGTAACATGAATTTGGAAAAGTAATTTCTCCTCTCTCCACTCATTTCCTCTTAATGATTTTTATTTGTCCCATATACTCTCCAGTACTGAAAAAGAACACCTGATATTCATGCTTGGTCCCTCACAATCACAGACTGACACAGCACAATCATCTGACTGAGAAGTAGACACTGAACATCTCTGCCACACTCCCTAAAAGACCAAGAAACACTTCAAGCACTATCAACTCCTGCAGGAAGACTCATAGGTCATGAAGATTTCCCTCCATGAAAAGGTATGGATTTGTACCTAGCTTTTGCTGGAACTAGAAGTCAACTCCAAAATCGCTCATAACACAGCTCAAGTACCACATTAGATAAAGATCATACTTGGCAAAATATTTTTATTAAGAGGAGGTACTGACTGGATGAAACAGTTATACAGTGCTTGCTTATAAAGCACATCTAAGCTAGCTTTAAAAAGCTAAAAACCATACTCCCCTATGCCCTATTTTATAGACATTGAAATTTTGCCATAAATGCTACAATTTCCATTGATGAGGAATAGCCATCATCAGAGAGAGATTAAAATAACAAACTTATCCTTAGGCACCATGCACTACTAGCAAGAATTCAAGTATTCCAGAATTGGGAATACATCTGCTTAGTTCACTGTTGTAAAGAGAACACAGTTAATGACGAAGTACGAAGTACACCATGCAGCTGTATGCTTGGAAGCATGAAACTCAGCACTGGTGAGGTGCTAAGCGCTGTGTGGGTAAGATTTTTTACCTCAGCCAACGCTGAGAAATATGCTTTTCCTCCCTGGGTGTATTCATATTTTTCTCCTCAGGTGCATCTCTATGCTTCATCCTGAGTGTACTCTTAATTCCTGTTGCGACTTTACTGTTTCTTGGTCTATTGTGTTTTCTGTCCAACGAGCTTGCCTATTTCCCAGGCATCTGGGCCTACAGAGGGCAAGTTTATTGTTTTGTGTGTGCGCGCGCACGTATATATCTAGTGTGTTGTTGTTATTAGCAATAAACCTTTAGTTATACCCGTAGCTTTTAACTTTATCAGTGGCAATCCAAAAGAACCTTTAAATGTTGCTGTAAATAAACAATTACCATTTGCCTCCCGATCTGCGTCTGTCACATATTCGGTACTGGCCACACAAGACTGGATTTTTTTTACCCCCCCCCCCCCTTTCACAACAACTGTTCTCTCCATTATTTCACCTTGAGGAACAGACTTTGAACTTTGGTCCTTAATATTTGATTTGTTAATCAAATTTTCATTAAAAAAAAAAATGATTTTCAGTTAAATCCTATTAGTTTTTTCAAAACACTGTACATTATGTATATTTTCAGTGAAAACTCCTATTTTCAGCTTAATCTGATTTCTGCAACAGTTGCTTTTAAGTAAACGTGAATACTGAGGTGGGAAATATCACTCTACCTCACAGAAACCGAGCAATTTGCTTCTACATTGATATTGTAATACAAAATATAACACAATACTACCTGACCTTAAATTGGATATCACTAATAAAGATATACTCCACAGGCAAACACAAAAATCTAGTGTTTGCCAGTTCCATTATATTTTCATTTATAGAAGAGAAAAGTTTGATAGCAGTGGATGATCCCTGTGCATTGTACGATATGTGTATCACATCTGGAAGCAAGGTGAGGTCTACAGACCAAGGTGCAGGTGCTTGCTGAGAAACCTCTGTACAGAAACACTGAAGGAGATTATTTTAACCCACTTATAAAGTAATGGATTTTACTCCTTCCTGTATGGTTCGATTTTAATCTATATCACTTAAATTAGCAAGCAAGAAACAGTACATGTGTTCTAATCACATCTTCAATTGCAATTTTTATTTCCTTAAAGAAGCCGGTTGACAAAATTAGGAATGAATTGACTTATTGTTATTAGATTAGGACCTTTAGGTCTTAAGAACACAGCAGCTATACAAGTTTCTGTAAAATTTAACTTGATACAGACATATGGTGCCTCATATACTAACACATTTAAAACATCAAGAGAAGATACTGCTGGGATTGCAAATGTTAGCATATCTGACTTTCTATATGTGTGATTAATTATCACCTGACCACTATTTATCTAAATATTGGTTTGAGGGATTAACTAAATACAAGCAAACACACAACACTTGAACGGTTTCCTTGTTCCCTATAAAGTAAAAAGGGGGCATGAGAAAAAATGGTTAAAATTTTTTGCCTCTAAAAACCTTCATGTTTTTTAAAGTACTGAACACAGTAAGACAACTGAATAGATTATTTCTAGTTTACCTTATCACCCAAAACTAGAACCACCATATCCTGAATTGCTTTTATTTTTGTCTAAAATAAAAAACAGAACTACTGGAATAAACTGAAGAAAATATTGTCACTGCATTTGCTGTTAAAAGCTGAGTAACGTCAGTGAATCTGTGCTCCTTGTACTTCATCAATGACTTTCACAAGTTCATTGATTTAATAAAAATGCTCAGCAGTAAGTACTAGAGTGTTCCGATATTTTTTTGTCATTGGCCCATGTCTATCACATTAAAAAATGAAAAACACATTGCTGTTTATCTGGTCCATTAGTAGGCTACATTTCTTTTTTTTACTCTTCACGTGCATTGCAACTCTTACTGCCAGACTTCCTAACAGTCAAACTCTCCACATCAAGGAGTCTGCTCTCCTAGCTGGCAAGAATCTTCACTATCCTCAGTTCTCATTCATCTAATCCAATGGCTGCCTGTTCCCTCCACCTTGCAATGAAGGCTGACCTCCTGGCTCCCCCTCTTCAGCTAAGATGACTGAGGAGACCAAACGTGTGGCAAAACCCTATAGCATTCTTTTTTCCTATAAAATCAGCATCAAGACCTCCGTCAATTTTGTCTCCTCCCTTCCAATACTGTGTACAGACTCTGTAAGAGCCACAAACCGATTATTTAATTCTGCAAGGATGCTTCAATGTATCATTTCTTATATTCAAATAAGACAGGGATTAAGTGATCAAGCTGTCATCACCAAGATCATCTCACTGGATAGTGGAACATAGATGAGTTTGCTTTGAAACCACTTAGGTGAAACTGTCAACAAGAATGTAAGAATACAAAACAAAAAAAGGCACTGTTGGATTTCAAATGGCAACTATGACCTCCCTGTGAGGTGTGTACATAGCTGAAATTTGGAAAGCTATCAAACTAATGCTCCACCCAACTATTTTCACTACACATCCTGCACTAACCAAAGCCTCAAGGTACAGTGCAACTCTCAGCACAATGTTCAGTAAGATTTTCGTGTTTTATCCATCCACACACTTTCATCAAGCATGCTCTTCTGAAGCCTCACGGTACAGCGTAACCCTCAGTACACTGATCAATAATATTTTTTTGTTTGTTTATATTAAACTAGAGACTACAGGACCATTTCCAAGGCCACATTCTATGCATAAGAGAAGCACCACCTTGATGATTCATAATATCAATTTAAATATGGAAAAGCAGGCAAAAGAGAAAATGCAGCTGCTTCCTTGTAACTTTTTTCTTCAAGTTGTTCCACTGCACACATCAAACCAGACGATGCCTTGCCACTCCCCTCTGGAGAGTTACCTGACTCTGGTGTTCACACACGTGTGCACAGTGCTGATCTCGCTTTCAGCGAGCAATACCAAACCACCACAATGACCGTTGTATTCGCTGCTCAGAAAAGTTACGACACCAGTTACGACATCTATGTCTCCATTCTGTTTAGGAATTGCTGGTCAGGTACTTTCTACATGGCTACTTTGGCAGAGGTACGTGTACTTTTCTTTTGCAAGTGACTCAGTCAATGCTACTTCAGAAATGATGACAGTAGTAAAGTCTAACCCGTCAAGAATGTAAAACCTTCTTATATTTAAAACTCTACTCCAGAATTTCCCATTGACAAAGTATAGATCACTTCATGATGAAGGTTTAGCTTTAAAGTGCATTTAAGCTCTACTGAAATATAACTTTGATCCAAAGCAGTACCACCACGGTATGAGACATTAAAAGACAACCCTTATTCAGAAAACCAGTAATAGACCCTGTTTGTCACATGAACACTCATTTATGTCAAGCTGGCTCTTTCCAAGGCCAAGTCCCTCAGCACTAGCTTGCTGTGACATTTGGTATGCCCTAGTTTAAAACTGAAACAGAGCCAGCATCTGTTCCCAATGCAGAGCACATGTTATCTTGCACTCTAAGTGCATTTAAAAACTACTCTTATTTCTAGGGTAGAGTTTATGTATTTCTGAAGCCACTCCATGAAAAGATGGTAAGTCCAGTTCATTTGTATATAGGTTATTTCGCTGGACTAACGACATCAAACTCTGCTTAGTGATCCAGTATAACTTTTGACCTACATCTCAACAGTTTTTCCAGCAACCAGAATTCTCCATATACCACAGAGTAAACAGGACTATACACAACATGCAGTGAATTAATTTTCATCAAGGTACGTTAAAATTCTTGAAGATGAATTAAAGTCTCAAAAGACATTTGTTAGATACACAGACTGACAGTGGCCCCATTTTATAGACACTGAAACCATGACACAGGAAACTGAAGCAATTTATCAAAGCAGAGTGAATCAGCAGGACTGCCAGAAAGCAAATCCACTGGTGTAACCTCTAGCCCTTTGAGCAGGGCACTGCATTGCATTTGCTTATTGTTTTGTACTACTCTGTAAATGCCAAGAAATGGTAACTTTTGGTTTGATTCACATTTAAAAGATTACCTTTCAAGTCACTATGAGCAACTACTTCATTATGGTTTAGGCTCACAGCAGATGACCCAAATTCTTCTCTGTTCTTGTTCGTCAACCCTAAAGGTCTGAACAGAAAATATTTCTATGAATTAATTTCTATGAAGAGACTCATTTGCCATTTTCATCTACAGAAGATAGGACACTATACCCTGAATTAAAATCCAGGTACAATATCTCCTGGTGAATACACTGACACTAAATTTGATCAACAGAAACACAAAAAGAGATCTTCTGAGGTAAAATTAAGAAAAAAAAAATTAAAAATAGTTCAGCAACATTATATATTTTTTGGTAATTAATAAGCATTTTGGAAAATAATTCTGTTTAGGTTAGCTTCTACCAAATCTGCAAAGTAAGTTATTACAGGTAACAGCAAGGATAAGATTTGTTGGCATTACTATCAATGTCTACAATTAACTTTCAAACATATTTCAGATACTAAAAGTATCCACTCCTGAATATAGGCTTCCATTACACTCCATCAGTGGTAAGGATACAAGCATTTGAGCTATAAACCAATGTGTTTAATTTCTCTTTGAGATTTACCATGTTTTATGCTTGCAATATACTTAATACATAAAATTTAATTGTATTAATGTAATTTAAGGTGTTCCCAGTGGCAAAAATGTGGCATAAAGGACAACTACCTGTCTCAGAGAAGGCATTTCACCTGTGTATTCCAAGTGCTGTCTCTTGAGTGAGTGCTATACAGACTAGTATCAAGCGGATTTCATTCACAAGTACACTATATTCTGACAGCTACCCTGTCCCCACCTAGACTGCCCACAGTAGAGTCTTCTGTATCGTTCTTGCCACAGATTGCCGTTGAGCAGAAAATAAAAAAAGTGTGGTGTTTCTGTGACAGGATAAAAAATGCCTGTTTTCAGAAATTTTGATATTCATCCAACCATTTAAAATAGTCTAATGATCATATACAAATTACGTACTGAGATTAAAGGCCCTTGAAAATTTCATTTTATTATAGAAATATTTTTTATTATTTTTGTAATAAAATAAAATTGTCCTGGAGTAAACAGCATTACTGTAGGTTTCAACATGTCTTT